TGAATTATTTTTTGAGTTTATGGACGAGAAAGAGGTGAGTTTAGCAAAGGCGAAGTGTGTGAAGTTTATAAATATATGATCCGACAAATCCACCCTCCATTTCACGCGAATTTCATTTATATCTACTTCTCTCCTACTAATTAGTTCTCTCTCTCTCTCAGTCACTTCTTCGTCAACGTCACGAGAAGAAAGAGAAGGACAAGCCCGTGGGCCCTCTCCTCGTCTATAAATACTCCACTCCTTCCTCTTCCTTCTCGGGTTTGCCTTCAGGAGAGCGAGAGAGAGGCTGCAGAGCGAAAGAGGGGGAGGGAGCGAGTGTGGAGAGAGGGAGTTGAAGGCATTGTGTTGGTTCCGAGGAGGGTGGTGAGTGGCCTTGTTTTGGTTTGATCAGCTTTTTTTATGTGATTTATGGGTTTTTTCTGGTCATGGCGATATTGTTCAGCTGTGATATTTGTTGGTTCTGGTCTTGTTGGCGTGAAGGTCTTCATACTTGTCGTGTATTCTTGTCCGTGCAGTACTTTTTGGGCACCATTTACTCAAGTTTAGGAGTTTTAGTGACACAAAAAAAGTTTGGATATTGATATCGTAGTGGGCATAATTTTAAGCAAAAGGACATCAGAAGCGCCATAAGTTGTGTACGGAGATCACTTTGGTGCCATATTGAAGGAAAATAGATCACTTTAGTGACTCCAGCCAAAAAGCTGATGTGACATTTATATTTTAAAAAAATGATCTAACTTGTACACGTGAAAATTATGTGGCTTTTTTTTTGAATATTTTAATCTTTTTTTTCCTAACTTTTCCTGGGCGCCGGTCCGGCGATCGGCGACCGGCCAGAGGGGAGGGCCGGAGAGGCCAACCTCGCCGGCCTCTGGAGAAGCTCGCCCCGCCGGCCACCGGCGAGGGCAAGCCTCGTCGGCCCCTTGCTGGGCGAGGTCGCCTCGCCGGCCACTGGCGAGGGCAAGCCTTGTCGGCCCCTGGCTGGGCGAGGTTGCCTCGCCCAGCAAAGGCGAGGCCGACCTTGCAGTCGCCTGGGTCGCGACGGCGAGGTCTCCCCTTGCCCTGCAAAGGCGAGGCGACACCTTGCCGTCGTGACCCGTGCGACGGCGAGGTCGGCCTCGCCGCATCTCGGGGCGGCTCGCCTCGGCCAAGCACCGACGAGCTTCGCCAGATCTCGGCGAGGCCGACCTCGCCATCGCTGGGTCGCAACGGCGAGGTCTCGCCTCGCCAGCAAAGGTGATTGCTTCCTCTCGGCGAGGGTCGCCGGGCCCTGACCAGGGGCCGGTGACCCTCGCCGACCACTTCGTCCACCACTGCCGGCCCTTCCTGGCGGTGGTGGGGTGGCAGCAGCAGTGGAGAGGGAGCCCTCGCCGCTGCTGCAATGTTTGATTTTTTTTTAATATAATATAAATTTTATTTTTTTAAAAAAGTACACGTTAGCGGACTAAACGGCGTCGTTTTTTGTTTTTAATGATGATTGGACCTCTCCGGCGAGTCATGTCAGCGCCACGTAGGATTTCCGGCAAGTCATGTCAGCATTGGCACTAAAGTGATCGTTTTTCAAAAAAATTGGCACCAAAGTGATCCGAAAAAAAGTTATGGCATCAAAGTGATCTCCGTACACAAGTTATGGCACTAATAGTGTCCTTTTGCCTATAATTTAAGGTTGCTAGTTGCATTTTCCCTTACTTATTTTCAATTTGTTCCTTCACAATTTGATTTTATTCGGTGTAAAATATCTAAAATTTTTTAAAATATTCAAATATTGACATATATAACGGCATAATTTACTTTTTCTAATTTGTAAATTTTTGACGAGAAGGTGGGCAAGTAACTTCGTTCAAAAGAAAACAGATTTACCCCCAATACCAACGTAGATGTAAAATATTCATTGTGTCAAGTCAAACGACGTTAGTTCGTTCCAGATCTCTTTTACTGTTGGATCACATTTAGGGGAAAAATTAATTCGGTGCAAACTCCACATGGACAAAGTGTATTTTGCCATTTCTTAAATTTTTTTTTTTGCTTTCTTATTTATGGTCATCCTAGGTGTCGCGACCTAAAATTTCTCTCAGGCTAATGGATTATTAGGACTAAGCCTAACTCGGGCCCTCCCAAACCCTACCAATTCGCAACTTAGGGTTTAAGTTTTTAACATGCAAAAGTTTTCATGCTTGGAGTCGCCGCTAATCTATTTATGGTAGGTCGATTAGAAACCTAAATAAAACATAGGGAGATATGTTTTATTCCTACGAACCAGAGATTCTAAGCTTGGGGACTTGATTACGCTAGATCTAGTCTAACGCCTTTTCGGTACCTTTTCTTTTCAAAAAAATGTTTATGCATGCAGTCTGGATCCATTTTAACTTAGTCAGTAGCATGTGAGGTGATCATGCGGGCGCGCAAACCACCAAAGTAACACCCAATAATCAAAACATTAAATAAATTGCAAGATTGAGAGAATTACTTACCTCGAAGCAACGTAAGCATCTGCATTGTTAGCTAGAAAATCACATCATCAATCCTAATATGATTTCTAATTAACAAGCAGTTCACTCAATATTTTTTGATTTTCACTTATTTAAATGAAAGCTAACCTATATGTAATGACGTGCAAAAATTAACATGCGATTAATGCAGCCTAACATGCAAACTATATGTCATGCGACGACGTGACCTAATTAATGACGGACAAATAATTTATTTTTGGTATTTTTTAAATGAAATTCGGAATTAAAAAAAATGCTTAAATTAACATGCAATCTATTCTAAAAAAAGATAATTTAATCTATCCTAAAGTGGCTTCTTTTTGGTATTTTTATGAAAATTCGAAATCAAGAATTACCCTAAAATGAACTGTCGAGATCAGGATAATATGTAAATTAAACTAGGAAATAAATTACTCTAATTCCTAATTTAAATTAAAAAGTTATCCTATCGACTTATTCAAAGAAAGTTATTCTAAACCTATCCTAAACATGCATCATTATCTTCTAATAAGATCAATTCAAATCCTAACTAATCTTTTTTTGGAATTATCTTTATTTAAAAAGAAAATAATTAAACAAAGATAACAACCAAGTTCAAACAATCCACGCAATCCGCAAGATTCTTCTTATCAGATTCAAATTAGGCAAAGAAATCAAACTAACGGTCATATCTATAGGGTTATAGATATCGACAGAAAGTTAATTGTTCAAATTTGGAAAGCAAATAAAATCTATTATCATATCCAAGTGATTATGGATAAGATAACGATTTTCCGTATCGCCGTGTATCGTACCTTAGGGATAATGTCGGATAGTCGTCCAGATACGTTGCCAAATTAGGAATGATTCCTAATTTTGGGTGTTTTCGAATATTGCGGATATAACACACATTATACTAAGATATCTAGCAATCTACGCAATATTCACGGAATATTCAAAATATCTGAACTAGGAATCTAAATATTTTGAAAATATACCGGATAGCTTTCTTACCTAATTTCGGGATATTCCCAAATTTGAACTCGCGGACCGGGATTGCGGATCGGGATGATGGCGAGTGGACCGGCGGCGGCGCGCAATGACAAACTGGCAATGGATCATGAGAGTCGATCGTCCATCGGCCGATGGGGGTGTCTTGGCTGAAGGGGCTGCTCGGTGAAGCTTACTGGTTTGGTGGTTCTCGGCCAAGGAAGGAGAATCTTGCGGTGTGGACTTGATGGATGCCTCGGCTTGACTCGTGGAAGGGGGACCTCAATGACTTCGCAAATTGCCCTTCCGCTTATAATTTTTCTTCTCTTCAAGATCACTACCTGTATCGTGCAGGCCCACTAATTCCAAGCTTGACCAATCCGTGAGTTTTTGACCAAGGAATCCACGTTCTTCAACAATCCACCGCTTCTTAATTTCTTTTCTGTTTTTGATTTACTCGGCCATTGTTCTTGTGCGCACGAAGGGAGTGAGATGGTCGTCCAAGAGTTGGACACCCCGCTGAGAGCCGTTGAAGGATGGGACTCGCTCACGGACAAGCAGTTCACGGTTTGACTCCTCGTGTGGAACGAAGACCGTCGTCGAGGGGGAAAGCAGCAGAGAAGCAACGTCATCGGGTAGCTCGGGTCGCTCTTTCGTAGTCGGATCAGCAGCTTCGTCGCCTGGGCTGAGATAGCGCTGGCAGTGGGCAAGGCGGGCTCGGGACTCGCGTGGCTGCAGGTCTGGCCGCGAGGAAGGTGGTGGCACGGCACGGGCACGAGGCGGTGCGGTGAAGGCTGGCGCGTGCGCGACCGACTCTCTCTCTCTTGCACTCTCACTCTCACGTGTATGTCTCGTGCTCTCAAGAATTGTGTTCTCTGAAAATTATGAGAGCCCCCTGATTATGACGCATAACGAAATATTTATATCGCAACCCTAGGTTAATTAACCGGGCTTCCTAGTCCTAATGGGCTTAGACTTAGGCTTTATCATTTAATTTTATTTTAATTCCAAATGGGCTAAATTAATTCGGGCTGATTTAAGCTCAAATTAAAACAACCAAAGCTTTTTAGACTTGTGAATTTTGGCCCCCAATCTCTTGAGTGAGCCGAGCGCTCAAGCTCGGTTTATGCGATGAATTTTTAGCTTTTTCGCCACCGCCGGTCCGATGCGGAATGCAACTAACCTATATGAACTTAAACTATATGCTATGCAATTTTAATATTTTTGTTTAGGAGTTAAAATTTAATCCCTAATTTTCTATGCAAATTATTATTAAATGGTTAGTCAAAATTTAGGTGTCAACACTAGGAAACATTTGTGGCAGAAAGTGGACCCGTCGTCCTTCACCATCAGTTGACTATCCATCCATAAAGAAGAAAAAATAGACGAATGTGCGCGTTGGAGACCAAGTTAACACAACAGTAAAATGTGGGTTGGGAGGGTTGATTAAAGCCAGTCAGGTTGAACTCGACTTGGTCGCTGTAACTCTGCTGAATTTGATTCCTAGGACACCAGGGAATTTCACTCAAAGTCACAGGCATAGTTGCGCATACAGAGATGGCTGAGAATCTGAACCAGGAGATGTGGAGGCAGAGAAGGCAGAGACTGGAAGCATTAATCAGGGCCGACCCGAACCAGCGACGGCATGATCCTGCAGAACCTGACAATATTGTGGATCCTCGGCTATACTTGGCTGCGAAGAAAGGGGACATCGACGAGTTCATCAGAGCCCTAGAGGATCATTGCGCCCGGGAAAGAGTGTCGTTGCCCATTGTTCTCGGACTGCGCAGCCCCTCCAAGAATACACTGCTTCACGCAGCGGCAGGTATATTAAAAAGGTTGTGACCGGGCATTTTAAAACTTTCAAACTTTCGCACTCAAATTAGCTGACATCATTGGAATGCAGAGAGTGATGATAATGTCAGAGCGGTCATCGATTTCGTCCCTAAGCACTTGATCTCCTGTAAAAACTCCAGAGGAGAGACGCCGCTACACATTGCGGCTAGAGCTGGGAAAACCATTGCGGTGGAGCTTCTCCTTCCCCAGGGGAACCCAAGATGCACTGACCGCAGCGGCAACTCCGCTCTGCACGAGGCCGTGAGGAATCGCCATTACGAGGTAATCCGTCAACTGGTGAGTGAAGACCCCAATCCGCTGTATTATCAGAATAAGGAAAGCAAGTCTCCATGGTGCGTAGCAGTCAAAACAGAGGATTTGGAGGTTCTCAGGGTCTTGTTGGGAGCACCAAACGATGGGGAAGACCAGAGGAGATTAGACATTGAAAGGGTCTTTGGCATGTCACCCGTTCATGTCGCCATTATGTACCAGAATATGGGTAAACCCACTTTTGCGCTCTCACTTATTCTTTGATCTTCTCGGTCACTCTTTTGTTTGTTAATTTTGGTTTCCTGTTGATTTTTGGAGCTCTGATACCATTTTGGATTGCAGAAGCGTGGTTTAGTTTTTGGTATTGATGTGCAAGTGTACGTATGTGTGGGATATATTTGGCAGATGAGGACAAGGGGACAATGAGATAGTTGTGTGTACATTTCCCTTGTTGAAGGAAAAATCAAGTTTCACAAGCAAAGTCTAGTTTAACGAGTCACGTGTACAGATGGTTTGATAGCTGACAACTCTAATGGGCCAGATTGTGAGACAACTCCCGATACTTGGGATCATCTTAGAGCGGGATCAACCCTAATGAAGAATTACAAACTAGTGTTCATCCATTATGATTAAATTCTTGTGCTGGATTTAGATATGCTGAACGCGACGTGGAAAAGGAAGCCGTGGCTATTTCAATTGAGAGATGTGGGAAACGGCACTCCACTCCATTTGGCGGCGTACAGCAATTATCACGATGGAGTCAGGTTCTTGATGGAGAAGTGCCCAACAAGCGCCCTGGAGCAAGACAGCACGGACGGCTATCTTCCTATCCATGTTGCTTGCATGATGAATCACATCGGGATCGTCAAGGAGCTACTTTGGCGATGGTCAGACCCTGCAGAGTTTCTAACTAGGCTGGGACAAAACATTCTTTACGTGTCAGCGAGGTACGGATGCAATCCGACTGTCAAAGAAATAATGAAAAATCCCAATTTTAGCCAACTCATAAATGCGAGAGATTTCGACGGGAATACGCCTCTGCATCTGGCTGCGTTGCACTATCAACCTTCGATCATGTTTCTTGCACGAGACAGAAGAGTTGATCTTAAGTTGGTCAATAAGAATAAAATGACGGCTCTCGACATGGCAGACCAGGACATTAAAGCAATTGGTGCTCCACTTCGGAAGGTACGACCTTTTACACTTTCCTCACGGGTAATAATATATCGCAAATTGTTATAGCAATCAGGCAATTAGGGACAGAACTAGAACATAAATTAGTGAGGCATGTCAATTAGTGTGCTCTCACCTAGATCCGTAATTTAGTTGCCAAAATCATAATGTTTTGATTTCTTTGTTTATTTTTCGACTCACTACTTGCAGAGATTAATATGGATAATTTTGGTATCTGCCGGAACACCGAGAAGTAGAGAATTAGATATCTGCAAGCCAACCGGTCGCAGCCCATGGAAACGAAAGGAACTGCAGGAACCGGATAGATCTAAGGACAAAGCGAATACTCGCATGGTCGTGGCGGTGCTTATGGCCACTGTCACTTTCACTTCTAATTTTTCCGTTCCAGAAGGGTATAATGGTTCTGACCCAGATGCTGGAATCCCTATATTGCTCCACAAAGCCATGTACAATGTCTTTGTGATTAGCAACTCCGTGGCCATGTATAGCTCGATCATGACCATCGTGATCCTCCTTTGGACACATATTAATGATCCTTACGTGATGGGAGTTACCCTTTTCCTATCAACTTTCCCATTGTTGGTAGCTCTTGCCGCAATGCCTCTGGCATTCATGGCAGGCATCTACGTGACCGTAACCAAACTAGCTTGGCTTTCGATTTTTGTCTTGGTCTTTGGATCCTTCGCCCTCTACATTATCTTGAGTTTCTTCATTTTGTTGTATTTTTTTCCGCTTGGGTGCAGAAATCCTCTTATTCATGGCTTCACAGACAGACTTATTTTAGTGGTTCTTGCGATAGCGAGGAGAGAGGCTGCAGGGAGGGAGACTGCGGCACGTGCAGCTACAGCCATCCGGGGCACTTGTGACGATAACCAACCGCCCCCACTTGAATAGATCATTTAGCGTATAGGTTCCATAAAGATGGGGTCTGATCCAGCCTTGAATCTATTAATCTCTTGCTAATTATGTACCGATGTCTGTACCTTTAGCTCCCTCTTAGCCTCATTTACATTAGATGCTGCTGTTTCGATTGGGCTAGCCCACCTGTCTGCGGTCAGAATTAGTGATGTATGCAATTTTAGTTATCCAAAATACTTGGTGATTTGCTACTCAATGATATCTATAAATAATTGTAAAGTTTGGCAGAATGAAGTTTTGTAATTGAATCGCATCGTCACATGGTTCCATTCCCTTTCACTTTGCTTAACATTAGTTATATACACACGTTTTGCTGATATATTCTCCTGAAAACATGTATTAATTGACTGAGACGATTCAATTAATGATTTTCTCTGTTTTTCTCTTTTATATTATTGACGTATAATGCTTCTAGTTATAATAAAATAAGGATTAAGAGAATTGTGTAGGGTAATATCTACTCTCTTTTTTTCAAGCTATCATTTTACCTATAAATTTATTGATGTACACCTATGATATATGATCTCATATACATACAACACATATATATATTTACATATAGGAAAGAGAGTTTTGTTCACTAAATAAGGATCATTAATTAATTTATTTCTATAACTGTCTTATGGGTACTATTTTCACTTTTAATTTGCTTTTGTGGACTGAAAATTGAGAGGTCAAATGAGTTATGAGATCTATCCATTACGTGTTGTGGTCCAGTTATCATGATGACTATTAGTCTACATTACTAAATAGTTTCAGTGAGATTTCTCAAACTGTTTTGAGCAGATATCTTGCATTTTTTCTGTATTTGGTTCTTGTACTCCATTTCATCCTGATGCTGATAGTATTTTCCACAATTCGAGGAACATCTGCATTTTTGCTCATGCTTAGTAGTTTACAACTCCGTGTGTCAAAGATCATCATAGAGCACAGCAAATGTACGATCGGCACAAATTCTTTCTACTAGGCTGTTCATCTTTCCATGGTTTGTTCTAGGGGTGATTAGTTCCCGGTCTGGTCCGCTTCTTGATGGAACTGGGAACCGGACCGGGAGGACCGGTTCTCAATTTCTAGGGCTGGGAACCGGACCGGTCAATCTTGGAACTGGGAGCCGGACCTGCCACGCCCCGAACCCCGCGGGCGCACGACATCCCGCTATGGTCGTTATGATGCGACGACCCAGGACTCGTCGCCGACCCTTTTCTTTTTATCTTTGAATTACGCAAGCGGAAACGATAACCAACACAACAATCCCCAGACAATAATTAAATCAGGGATAGCAGAGGAAAACCAGACATAACAAAAGCCATTTTAATATTCACTTGATTAACCCCTGGGAACATACTTACAGGCCCACTCCGGGCGTTTTCACAAAAGCCAGCAAAAGACAAAGGTTAGGGTTAATCTACTCCATCCAAAAGATCAGCTTCCAGGCCTAACCCTCAAGGACCAACCAAAAACCGCGGTACTCCACACCGCATAAGAAGCAACGACAAGCTAAGGTCCTGAAAAAGGTTTAACAACAACAAATGAGATAAAATCTCAATAAGTTAACGGCCTAAGCCCCGCTTAGGAGGCCAACTCGCACGGGGTCCCTAAACAGCAACACAAAGATCAACAAAGACATTATTAAACAACCGCAGTATCCTTACCTCGCCTTGGTACACACGTTGATGAAATGCATATGTCGCAAACTCGAAGCATCTAAATCAATTACTCATGCATCAATGCATCACAAGCGGGCGTGTCCCGATTATAAGATAGAATCCACTTGGGCACGTCCCATACCATGCCTAGCAGTTTCTACCACATAATCAAGCACTATGTGTCACACGTATTCCAGTTATTACGCCCCCTCGGGGCCACCACACATCAAGCGATACGCAGCAAGATGGCGGTCTACCGGTAAAAACTGGGCTCCGTCCCGCCCCGTCGGGCACGGCTACGTCAAACGATACACAGGATGACGGCATTCCAATACGGCAACATCAAACGATACACGTAAGATGGTATCCCGTAAGGAGCATCGAGTCCGGCCTCGGGCCGCGACAAGGCATCCGGGGTATCGGCACTCCAGACATTATCCCGTGCATCCGATAAATCGGGCAACGTCAAGCGATACACAGCAAGACGGCTTTAACGTGTGACCACACGAGCACACAAGCATTCCGGCCAATTATTATCTTCTCAATTAGCCCATGCATACATGAATCGTGCTCTCCTCGATGTCATACAATAATACCAAGTGGCCACACATGCAAACAGTCAATCAATTCTTTCAATCTTCGATATCAAACACGAATATCAACCACAAAGTATCACTAACATTACTTGGCATAACAGAATAAAATAATTTAATTCCAAAAGTCTCATAAATTTTCCACAGAAACTTTCGATCAAACAATTTGCCATAAAATCAATTTAATACGACAATACGCGGCAAAATCGCCAACATTCAAGCTAGAAATCATAATTTGAAATTATAAAATTTTCCGAAATAACAATAAATTAAATTCGGAATTAATTAATTAATAAAATTCGAAAATAATTTAATTTTCCAAAATGTCAAAATATTTCATCGAATCAAAAATCATTCAAATCATTTTCTAAATACGCCAACTTATACGGCGAAAACCAACATTGGCATCACAATTAACGCTTGAAAATATCCGAAATAATAACATTTAATTTTCGGAAATTAATTATTTAATAATAAAATATTAATATTTAATTCGGAATTAATTTATTAACTAATAAAATAATATTTAAATTCCGAAAATAATTGATTTAACATAATAATCAATAACAATAAAATAACTGATAACTTATCACCACAATCGCGATAACCTATCGCACAACCACGGATAACCTATCACTTAAACCCAATAAAACAAACAAAATACTAATCTAAACATAAATTAAACTACCCTAAGCAAGTTTAACACCCTAAACACGGGATTAGGGGTTAACTTACTCGGCTAACGCCGGCGACGACGCGAGTACGACGGCGGCGACAAGGGCGGTCCACGGTGGCTTCCGGTTCGGTTTCGAGGCCGGAGGCGGCGTAACGAGGGAGGGAGACAGCCGGCCATCGGCCCGGCGTTTTGGCTGTTCCCGACGACCGGGACAGCAGCCGGTCGGAGGTGGACGGCGACTTGAGCGGTGGCGGGCGACGGAGGCGAGCGGAGCTTGACCGCGGCAGGTTGGACAAGGCGGACACGGCTCGGTCGGGGCGATGGACGGACGACGACGGCTGGGGGGGAGGCGCAGCGACGCTGGTTCCAGCGAGGACAAGCCGGCGGTGGTTAGTCCGGCGAGGGGCTAGCCGGCGAGGAGCAGCGAAGCAGGAACCAGCAGCTAGAAGCAACCGCGACGACGGACTGTGGCGCGGCGGTTGGCGGAGCAGCAGCACCAGACGAACGGCCGGCGGTGAGGCTGGCGTCGGCGCGTGGCTGGGCTGAGGCTGGTCGGGCAGAACAGGAGCAGGAGCAAGAAGCCAGAAGATGCGGCGTCGGGGGCAAGCCAACGCAGGAGAAGAAGAAAGAAGGAGAAGAAGAGAAAAAGGAAAAAGAAAAAAAAGAAGAAAAAGGAAGAGAGAGAGAGAGAGAGAGAGAGAGAGATAGGTAGGTGGGGGTTGGTGGTGGTCAGACGTAAGGGTCAGCGGGAAAGGGGGAAAGGATAGAGAGAGAGAAGCACAGGTCAAATCGCAATAATCGCGATCCAACGGTCACGGTTTAAACCCGAAAAACGATCCGACGGTCCCCGAAAAATCCTAATTAATATTTTTAGGATTTGGCTAAAAGGGTGTTAATAAAAACACACTGCGAGGGTGATCTACCAGTCCAAATTCGCACCCGGTCAAAAATTCACTTTTCACGTATCCCAGGTAATATCGAGATTGGCCACACTAATATCGACACCGTCCAATTAAATTCGTTCCGGAATTCCGAGAAATTCGACGCCAAAGTTTGGGCTCTAAATAACGGCCAAATTCGATCGAATGCGATTCTAGCGAAATCTCAATTTTTAAAAACAATAACCGGGAGTGATCAGTTCCCGGGCGAGATTTTACTATAAGCACACTGACGAATTACACGTTTTATAAATCCCAAAAGTGGGCCGAAATTCGGAATGTCACAACTCTTCCCTCCTTAAAAAAATTTCGTCCTCGAAATTTACAAACCAACCCAACTATTCAAACAAATGGGGGTATTGGTGTCGCATCAACTCTTCACCTTCTCATGTGACTCCCTCGGTCCCATGATGTTGCCACACAACTTTGACAAGAGGAATCGTTTTGTTTCTTAATACCTGCTCCTTCCGATCCTCAATTCTCACGGGTCTTTCCACGTACGACACTCTTTCATCCACGTCGATCTCTTCGTAGTTCAAAACATGGGTCGAATCCGGTTCATACTTTCTTAGCATAGACACGTGGAATACATCATGTACTTGAGCCAACCTTGGTGGCAATGCTAGACGATATGCCAACGCTCCAATTCGCTCCAAGATTTCGAACGGTCCTACATATCTTGGGCTCAGCTTGCCTTTCTTGCCAAAGCGCGACGTTCCTCGCATCGGTGATACCTTGAGGAACACATGATCTCCGACTTGGAACTCCAATGGTCTACGTCGCCTATCTGCGTAAGTTTTCTGGCGACTTTGAGCAGTCCTTAGTCTATCCCTGATGACTTTAACAGCATCCGACGACTGTTGTACCAACTCGGGTCCCGAAATCTTTCGTTCTCCAACTTCGTTCCAACAAACAGGAGTCCTACAGGGTCTGCCATAAAGTGCTTCGAAAGGTGCCATTTTGATACTCTGCTGATAACTGTTATTGTACGCGAATTCGACAAGATGCAATTGTTCTTCCCAACTCCCTTTGAAATCCAGAACGCAGGCTCGTAGCATATCTTCGAGAGTCTGAATCGTTCTCTCAGATTGTCCATCTGTCTGCGGATGAAAAGCAGTGCTGTACTGCAACTTTGTTCCCATGGCGCCTTGAAGACTTTTCCAGAACGTGGCGGTGAACTTGGGGTCTCGATCTGACGTGATCGTCACCGGCACGCCATGGAGACGAACTATATGTCTCACGTACAACTCAGCATACTTGTCCATGGCAAAGTCCTTTCGCACTGGAATGAAATGAGCAGACTTTGTGAGTCTATCTACCACAACCCAGATGGAATCATTACCTCTTTGGCTCCTCGGTAGACCCATCACGAAATCCATCGTGATATGCTCCCATTTCCATTCTGGTATTTCCAGAGGTTGCAGTAGTCCGCCAGGTTTACAGTGTTGAGCCTTCACCTGTTGACACGTTAAACATCTAGCCACATGCTTGGCAATATCTCCTTTCATGCCATTCCACCAATAATATTGGCGAAGATTCTGATACATTTTTGTGCTGCCCGGATGAATACTGTAGTTACTGCGATGAGCTTCCGCTAAAATTTCCTCTTTAAGTCTTTCATCATTGGGCACACACAACCGTCCACGAAACTTCAAGATCCCATCATCGGATACTTGAAAGTCAGGTTTCCTCTTAGATGCGTCCATTTGCAGAATCTTTTGCAGTTCAGGATCCGAAGGTTGCGCTGCTTTAATCTTAATTTGTACTTCGGGTTCAATTCTGAGAGTAGCCATTAAACTCGAGAGGTGACTTACCTCGAACCTGAAATCCGAGTCTCGAATTCCTTCAAGCAAAATCCATTCTTGAACCATCATATGCGCAATCGAGGACTTTCGACTCAATGCATCAGCTACCTTATTAGCCTTACCCGGATGATACAAAATGTCACAATCATAGTCCTTCAGCAACTCCATCCATCTACGCTGTCTCATATTCAATTCTTTCTGCGAAAATAGATACTTTAAACTTTGATGATCCGTATAGATATGAAACCTTTCTCCGCACAGATAATGCCTCCAAATCTTAAGCGCGAATATGATAGCAGCCAATTCCAAGTCGTGCGTTGGGTAGTTCTGTTCGTGTGGTCTTAATTGTCTGGACGTATATGCCACAACTCTTCCATGTTGCATTAAAACACATCCTAATCCTTTATATGACGCGTCGCTGTAAATCTCATATCCCCCTGAACCAGACGGTAACGTTAGAACAGGCGCAGTAGTTAGCTTCTGCTTAAGCTCTTGAAAACTACGCTCACACTTATCCGTCCACTCAAACTTCGTATCCTTTTTCAGTAATCGCGTCAAGGGCATGGCTATAGCAGAAAACTTTTCCACGAACCTCCTGTAATAGCCAGCCAATCCCAAGAAACTCCGAACTTCAGTTACTGTCGTTGGTCTAGGCCAATTCATGACCGCCTCAATTTTAGCCGGCTCATCGAAATTCCTTCCCCGTAAATCACGTGTCCAAGAAAAGCCACTCGAGTTAACCAAAACTCGCACTTACTAAACTTGGCATACAATTTATGATCTCGAAGGGTCTGCAGCACTGTCCTCAAATGCTGTTGGTGTTCTTCCAAACTTCTCGAATACACCAAAATGTCATCAATGAACACGATCACGAACCTATCCAAATACTCCTTGAACACCCTGTTCATCAAGTCCATAAAAGCTGCAGGCGCATTTGTCAGACCAAACGGCATCACAGTAAACTCATAGTGTCCATAGCGCGTTCTAAATGCCGTCTTCGGTATATCTTCCTTTCGAATCCTCAACTGGTGATAACCTGTCCTCAGGTTTATCTTCGAGAATACCGAAGCTCCTTGAAGTTGGTCGAATAAATCATCTATCCTGGGCAATGGATACTTATTCTTAACCGTCACCTGATTGAGTTGCCGATAGTCGATGCAAAGGCGCAACGACCCATCCTTCTTCCTTGCAAATAGAACTGGCGCTCCCCAAGGTGATGCACTAGGACGAATAAATCCTTTGTCCAACAATTCCTGCATCTGAACCTTTAACTCCTTCAATTCCGATAATGCCATTCTATAAGGTGCCTTAGAAATCGGTTCCGTTCCAGGGGCCAACTCAATCACAAATTCGATTTCCCTTTCTGGGGGCAACCCAGGCAATTCCTCAGGGAAAACGTCCGAAAATTCTCGCACCACAGCAATATCTTGCATACCAGGTTCCTCTACCAAAGTGTCAATTACAGTCACCAAATAGCCTTGACAACCCTCATCCAATAACTGAGTCGCCTCGAGTGACGAGATTAAAGGGATCGAAGGTCCTCCTCGATTCCCGACAAACTCAAAACCGACACTCCCTACTGGCTCAAACTGTATCGTCTTACGATAGCAGTTTACCGTGGCTCGTTGCTTGGTGAGCCAATCCATTCCAATAATCACGTCAAAGTCGAACATCGTCAAAACAATCAAATCTATGCTGTCCTCACGACCACCAACGTATAATCTACAACCAAGATGCTACCTCATGCAGACACTATACTATCCTTTAAAGGGGTAGAAATATTATAAACCACTCCCAGCGGTTTCGGACTTAACCCCACTAATTCCACAAATTGCTTAGCCACAAATGAATGCGTAGCTCCAGGATCAAACAAAGCATAGGCAGCATGGTCGTGTAATGAAACCGTACTGTAATGACGGCAAAGAGTCCTCCGCCTCCTTCCTTGTGACAAAGATAGACCCTTCCTTGCACTTGGGGTCGGTTCCACCGGTTCGGGGGCACTACTTGCAGGTTGTCCTACTCCGCCGCATTGGTCTTTGCGCTCCCGCCGCCCGGCGTGGGACAGCTTCTTCACGTGGTGGCCGTGCTGGCCACATCCAAAACAAACTCCCGTCCTCATAGGGCAAGGGGCTGATCCATGGTGTCTTCCACAGAATCGACAGGGGCCATTATTGTTGTACACCGGTTTCCTCACGCCACCTTTCTTATTAGGAGGGACGTGGAACTTACTTCCCGTCATCGGTCTCTTCCCAAACCGATGATTATCCTTGTTTGGCACAAACCGCGATCCAGACGCGGCTGTCCTCTCAGCCAAGTTTCTCTCAATTAATTGCGCTCTTTCATACAGCTCATTATAGTCCTTCAGATTCAGGGGCACCAGTTGATCCTTAATCTCAGGTTTCAGCCCATCCCTAAACCTCCTTGCCTTGTCAACTGGGTCTTCAATCAACCTCGGGGCATATTGGGACAACTCAGCAAACCTTGCTTCGTACTGGTCTACCGTCAACTGGTTCTGTCGGAGACGCTGAAACTCATTCATCTTCTGCTCTCGAGCGCAGTCCGAAAAGTACTTATTATAAAAAGCTTCCACGAAGGCACCCCACACCCGGGCCGTACCTTCGGGAAATACCCTCCTCTGGGTAGCTTCCCACCAAGTACTGGCGTTACCTTGCAATTGGTAGACAGCCAGTGTCACCTTGTCTTCATCTGTACATCTCAATAAGGCAAAAACCTTTTCCAACTCCCTAATCTAGAGGGTTGCAGCCTCAGGATCACCCGCGCCAGTGAACTTGGGCGGCTTGAGTTTCAGAAATTGCTCCACCAACTTGTGCATGGGCTGATTCCCATTTTCATTGCCAGCTAACGGAACATCTACAGCACAGGTGCAAGTGCGGTGCGAGTGCGAGGTGCGATGCAGGTGCGAGGACGGCGGCGGGCTTGATTCCGAGCCTCGCCCTATTAAAGTCTCTAAAGCCTGCAGGATCTGGTCCAATCTAGGATCCCCTGGTGCTCTACTTCTGGCACCAGCCTGACCTGGCTCGGCTCTCCTCATAGGGGCTCTCGGTTCAGGATTATCCATCTCGCAGGATCTTTACAGAAACCTGCTTTCCAATTCCAACAAGGAATTAGAATTCCTGAACAACTTGCTTACGAACGAAAAAGCTAATAAACAAACACAAACACAAGGTATTTTCCTAACTCACTATCCCAAAACCCATCCCACCTTATCACTCCAAGTCTCGACCAAACTTGGATCGAGCTGACCTTGCTCTGATACCAATTCGGACGGGGATGTCACGCCCCGAACCCCGCGGGCGCACGACATCCCGCTATGGTCGTTATGATGCGACGACCCAGGACTCGTCGCCGACCCTTTTCTTTTTATCTTTGAATTACGCAAGCGGAAACGATAACCAACACAACAATCCCCAGACAATAATTAAATCAGGGATAGCAGAGGAAAACCAGACATAACAAAAGCCATTTTAATATTCACTTGATTAACCCCTGGGAACATACTTACAGGCCCACTCCGGGCGTTTTCACAAAAGCCAGCAAAAGACAAAGGTTAGGGTTAATCTACTCCATCCAAAAGATCAGCTTCCAGGCCTAACCCTCAAGGACCAACCAAAAACCGCGGTACTCCACACCGCATAAGAAGCAACGACAAGCTAAGGTCCTGAAAAAGGTTTAACAACAACAAATGAGATAAAATCTCAATAAGTTAACGGCCTAAGCCCCGCTTAGGAGGCCAACTCGCACGGGGGTCCCTAAACAGGCAACACAGCATCAACAGCACATTATTAAACAACCGCAGGCATCCTTACCTCGCCTTGGTACACACGTTGATGAAATGCATATGTCGCAAACTCGAAGCATCTAAATCAATTACTCATGCATCAATGCATCACAAGCGGGCGTGTCCCGATTATAAGATAGAATCCACTTGGGCACGTCCCATACCATGCCTAGCAGTTTCTACCACATAATCAGGCACTATGTATCACACGTATTCCAGTTATTACGCCCCCTCGGGGCCACCACACATCAAACGATACGCAGCAAGATGGCGGTCTACCGGTAAAAACCGGGCTCCGTCCCGCCCCGTCGGGCACGGCTACGTCAAACGATACACAGGATGACGGCATTCCAATACGGCAACATCAAACGATACACAGTAAGATGGTATCCCGTAAGGAGCATCGAGTTCGGCCTCGGGCCGCGACAAGGCATCCGGGGTATCGGCACTCCAGATAATCCCCAGGCATCCGATAAATCGGGCATCGTCAAGCGATACACAGCAAGACAGGTCCAACGTGTGACCACACGAGCACACAAGCATTCCGGCCAATTATTATCTTCTCAATTAGCCCATGCATATATGAATCGTGCTCTCCTCGATGTCATACAATAATACCAAGTGGCCACACATGCAAACAATCAATCAATTCTTGCAAGCTTCGATATCAAACACGAATATCAACTACCAAGTATCACTAACGTTACTTGGCATAACAGAATAAAATAATTTAATTCCAAAAGTCTCATAAATTTTCCACAGAAACCTTCGATCAAACAATTTGCCATAAAATCAATTTAATACGACAATACGCGGCAAAATCGCCAACATTCAAGCTAGAAATCATAATTTGAAATTATAAAATTTTCCGAAATAACAATAAATTAAATTCGGAATTAATTAATTAATAAAATTCGAAAATAATTTAATTTTCCAAAATGTCAAAATATTTCATCGAATCAAAAATCATTCAAATCATTTTCTAAATACGCCAACTTATACGGCGAAAACCAACATTGGCATCACAATTAACGCTTGAAAATATCCGAAATAATAACATTTAATTTTCGGAAATTAATTATTTAATAATAAAATATTAATATTTAATTCGGAATTAATTTATTAACTAATAAAATAATATTTAAATTCCGAAAATAATTGATTTAACATAATAATCAATAACAATAAAATAACTGATAACTTATCACCACAATCGCGATAACCTATCGCACAACCACGGATAACCTATCACTTAAACCCAATAAAACAAACAAAATACTAATCTAAACATAAATTAAACTACCCTAAGCAAGTTTAACACCCTAAACACGGGATTAGGGGTTAACTTATTCACTAACGGCCCACGGCAGGAGTACGACCGGCGCGATAAGGGCGGTCCACGGTGGCTAATTAATTTGGAGTTCTGAATGAACGGCCGTGGGAGGAGGACACTGGCGTGGGTCGCTCCCGTGGCTTGGCTGCTCTCGACGACGGGACAGCAGGCGACTGCCTGAGGTGGACGAGACGCACGGCGGCTCATGACGCGGTGGCGGGCGACGGAGGCGAGCGAGCTTGACCGCGCGGTTGGACAAGGCGGACACGGCTCGGCTCGGGGCGATGGACGGACGACGACGGCCGGGGGAGGCGCTGCGACGCTGGTTCCAGCGAGACAAGCCGGCGGTGGTTAGTCCGGCGAGGGGCTAGCCGGCGAGGAGCAATGGGCAGAACCAAGAATAGAAGCAACCGCGACGACGGACGTGGCGCGCGGTTGGCGGAGCAAGAAGACTGCACGAACGGCCGGCAAGCTGAGGCCGGGCGGCTGCGGCCGGTCTCGAGGCCGGCGGGCAACAGAGCAGGAGCAAGAAGCCGGAAGATGCGGCGTCGGGGCAAGCCAACGAAGGAGAAGAAGAAAGAAGGAGAAGAAGAGAAAATGAAAAAGAAAAAAAGAAGAAAAAGGAAGAGAAGAGAGAGAGAGAGAGAGAGAGAGAGAGAGAGAGAGAGAGAGAGAGAGAGAGAGAGAGAGAGAGAGAGAGGTAGGTGGGGGTTGGTGGTGGTCGACGTAGGGCCGGGAAAGGGGGAAAGGATAGAGAGAGAGAAGCACAGTCAAATCGCAATAATCGCGATCCAACTGGTCACGGTTTAAACCCGAAAACGATCCGACGGTCCCCGAAAAATCCTAATTAATATTTTTAGGATTTGGCTAAAAGGGTGTTAATAAAAACACACTGCGAGGGGTGATCTACCACCCAAATTCGCACCCGGTCAAAAATTCACTTTTCACGTATCCTGTAATATCGAGATTGGCCACACTAATATCGACACCGTCCAATTAAATTCGTTCCGGAATTCCGAGAAATTCGACGCCAAAGTTTGGGCTCTAAATAACGGCCAAATTCGATCGAATGCGATTCTAGCGAAATCTCAATTTTTAAAAACAATAACCGGGAGTGATCAGTTCCCGGGCGAGATTTTACTATAAGCACACTGACGAATTACACGTTTTATAAATCCCAAAAGTGGGCCGAAATTCGGAATGTCACAGGACCGGACCGTCGGTCCGGTCCAATGGAACCGGTCAATGTAGAAATTCCCCAACCAAACATGGTGAGATTCCCAAACCAGGAACATCTGAACCCCGAAGGACAGTAACTCTTCAAAACAGAGCACAAACATTATCTTTCATGCACACAACATTGCAACACCTCATATATGGATAGCGAAGGTAGCAAAAACACACGCATATTGTAGGATTTGTTTGTTACAGTATCACATGGATGATAGACAAAGGTGATCATCCGATCGAGAATAGTAGCTTCAAATTTAAATTTTACTGTCGAGGCTCAACTGGTTCAAGAAAACAAGATGCAAACACAAGCAAACTTTAGATAAGATTTGGACCCATGAAAATATAACTAGTTCCGCAACCTAAGATAGCCTTCTGGTGCAAAATGAGAGCTTCTCTCATGGCCTCTACTAGCACGCAGCCATGCAGCATTTGAAACACCAAGCCACTGCTGCTATTTCTATTTCCAAACAAAATATTCAGACATTAGTTTTAAACCAGAATTACTACAAATCGAACTCAAATTATTAATGGAAATTCTCACATGTATTTCTTCTACTTCAACTTGTAAACTCTATTTATCAAGTAAGCTTGCTAAGCTCCAAGTTAACATCATCAATATCTAACAAAAACAAAACATTAAATAAAGCATTCACTTATTAGATACACGAAAAAATTACAAGATAAAAAGATATATCAATGACTTACCCCACTCAAACTTTTCTGCATTTTTAATGCACTCTTCAACATTAATCGGTGTGGTAACCACTCTCAACCAATCTTGAGTATAAATCAAAGCTTCCACCACTCTAGGAGTCAAAGAATTTCGAAAACCATCAAGCACACGGCCAGATGTACTGAAAGTCGACTCCGAAGCAACGGTTGTTGTAGGAATAGCCAAAATATCCCGAGCCATCAAAGAGAAGATTTTAAACTTTTGGCCAGCAGTTTTCTACCACATCAAAAGGTCAAGATCACGACCTTCTTCACGTTTGGCTTTAAGATACTTATCGAGCTCAGACAAGTTGCCCACGGACACTTTTTTCTCCTCATGAAGAAAGAATTCATATGCCTTGTCCGAATCAAAATCCACAACCAAATCAAGGTCGTTCTGGTTATCCTCCTCATGGCTATCAGGATTCTAACTACTACCGGTATCAAACAAAAGTTGACCACCCAAATTTTTATCACAAGAACCAAGATAAGATTTCTCATAAAAATGAAACAAACGTTCCAAGGCAATCCTCACCTTATTAGACATCTCCTCAACTTTCGCACTATCACCATAGATTAGTCTATAACAATACCTCACATAATTCATCTTTTTTCTTAAATCCAATATTACCGCATTCAACACCATCATATTTACCTTTTCGAAACTCCCATAATATTTTTCAAACTTTTCCTTCATCTTCGCACCCATAGCTTTCATCCTAGGATCCGAAGCTTTCTCCGCTTGTTTCAGAGTTTTATATAAAATAGCTATCTCATTAAAATAATCATTCGAAGTAATATACTTAGTCCCGGACATCTTGTTGGTGGCATCATAAAATTTCTTCAAAAATATGGAAAGAATTTTGGCATTTTCCCAATCTTCATGTTTAGGAGTTTCATAGTCAAGCTCAGTTAAGAAAGCATGATCATCTTCTTCCATCCTTTCACAAGCTTTTCTGAATTTTAAGGCTGTGTCTAACATGAGGTAAGTGGAGTTCCATCT